ATGCTCACCCCATCCCCAAAAGGAGCTTTGACCCCTGTGTCAGTAAAGGCTCCAGACGCAGAAGGCAAGGAACTGCAGGAAATATGCCGCGGCTGAGAGATACGGAATAAGCCTTTCTATAGAGACAGAGAGAAGACCCATGGGCGCAGGGGCCTGATGGCAGGGAAAAGGTGATACAGGTTTCTGTTTGGGGACACGGAAAGTCTCAGAATCAGAGAGTAAAGATGGCTGCGCAACACTGTGAATGCATTCCATCCCACTGAAATGCAATTTTCACACTGTATTTTACCAAACAAACCAACCAAAAAATTATTAAAATTAAAAAACAAAACAAAACAACAACAACAACAACAAAAACCACCTCCCAGGGACTAGAGATGGCTCCATTGGTCCCAAGCAGGAGCTGCTCTTGCAGAGCACCCAGGGTCAGTTCCCAGAAGCCACAGGGCCTGTCACAACTATCTGTAATGCCAGTTCCAGGAAATCAGACTCCGTCTTCTGGTTTCCACAGGTACTGCACACACACACACACAGTACACATGCACACTTTCAGGCGAACACTCCTTTAAAACATACATATGTCGGGAGACTCCCAAACCAGAAGCAGTTCCTCCCTTTCCTGAATACCAATATAATACACACACCTCAGACCAGAGTAAAATGGATGGTCTACTACCAACTCAGTTACTGAGCCAGGCTTCTGTCTTCACTCTGTTCTTCCCCAGGGTGACTTAAACCTCATACCAATCTTCAGGTAGGAGTCACCATTTTCACGAATGAGGAAACTGAGGCACAAGAGGTCACACAACAAACCCAGGGACAGCCACAGGTGACACCGTTAGAGTAGCCAAGCAATTTACTGCCGTCTTCACACTTCCGACCCCCGGACTGCACTGCCTGCAGATCTACGGTCGTCTGCGCATGTCAGTGTAAGCGCTGCTGGCAGAACAACAGACTTACCACCCAGAATGAGACCCAGGTACTCTTCAGCTGCTGCCTCGCCACCTGGCATTGCCTTCAGATGCACGTGCTCATGCATGAAGTACAGCTTCCAAAACACCTGCAGACGGGGTGCCCGTGGGCTGGGAGCTTGGCTCGCTAGCAGAGTGCTTATATAGCATGTGTAAGGGCTCTCGGCTTAATCGCCAGCACCACCACCACCACAACAACAACAATTCAGCTCACCACACTAGGTTCTAGTCCATATGGTGGGTACATCGAGGCAGGAACCCACAGCATCACATCCACGGTCAAGAGCTGAGAAAAAAATAAACGTGGGAATCCTCGCTTGCCCTCACTGCTCTAACACAGTTAGGACCCCCTGCCTAGAGAATGGTGTGGCCCACAATGGGCTGCGTCTTCCACGGTCATGAAGAAGCAAAACAATCCCCAACAGGCGAATTTGATCTAGATAATTCCTTGTGGATGCTCACTTCTCAGGTGAGTCTAAGTTGTGTCAATTTGACCGTTAAAACTAACCAACAAAATGAGACAAGCTGGGGATAGAGAGAGAGAGAGAGAGAGAGAGAGAGAGAGAGAGAGAGAGAGAGAGAGAGAGCGAGCGAGCGAGCGCTTTTTATGCTGGTAGCCAGTCCCAGGCCCCTCCACCTGGTGACTTCCTCCAGGGCTGAGTCTAACTACCTGGAGGTTAAGGGGTTTCACTGCTAAAAGTAGGGTTATTTAGATGTAAATAGTGCAAGCAATTACAAATGAAGTTAAAGAGGGCTTAGTAGAAAGTAAATTGGCTATTCCCAGTTGGGAACACCTGCCAGCCAACCAAAAGCAACCAATAAAAAGTGAAATTCTACTTCGGGAAGCAGGGAAGTCTATCAATTACTAGAAACTCCCTTTGCCCAGAGATGGTAAATTGAGCTAACACCTCAAAGGAGCAAGGCTCAGCCCCACCATTCTCTACAACCGATTGTCCTCAGAACTGAAGGAGGGGGCAGCATCACTGACCTCCAGTGGCTGCCTGGACTCTGCGCCACCCACTGTGCCTGCTTCTGCCTAGCAAGAAGTAGGCTCAGAGCCCCACGTTACAGATGGGGGGAAGCAAACGCCAGATGAAGAGGACTCAGCCAGAACCACACTCCTGATGACTGACAAAGAGGCTTTCAAAGCAACTACTCGAGACCAGCAAGCTTTTAGCCCATAGTAAATGAGGGCCCACATCCTAAAATTTAAGCAATTCTTGATTAAGAATCCTCCGTTAAAAAAAAAAAAATCTGATCAGGCAGTGGTGGTGCACACCTTTAATCCTAGTACTCAGAAGGCAGAGGCAGGTGGATCTCTGAGTTCAAGGCCAGCCTGGTCTACAGAGCAAGAGCTGTTACACAGAGAAACCCTGTCTTTAAAAAAATGGAAAGAAAGAAAAAAGGAAGGAAGGAAGGAAGGAAGGAAGGAAGGAAGGAAGGAAGGAACTTGTGCCCTTCTTCTCTCTCTCATTCTCTCTCTCTCTCTCTCTCTCTCTCTCTCTCTCTCTCTCTCTCTCTCTCTCATATCCTACCCTGCTGCCTCACACCCAGAAACGGTGACTCTCCTTCAGGGAGAGGTAGCCATGCCTTGAGGAGGCCAGTCCCACATAATAAGCTAAAAGCGAAGTCTAATAGCCCAGCCCCAACTCTCCCTCACCTCCCACTTCCCAAAGCTTACCCAGGAAAGCAGGAAAGTTTAGGACTAAGCTGGTCTGGACACATCCTAGACAAAAAATATCTACGTCCTAAACCAAAAATTCATAAACAAAGGAGATCAGAAGTTTGGTCAGTGTCACCCTATGGTCCCCAAGTAAGTATCCCCCACCCAATTCATTTACTTTATTTTACATGTATGAGTACTTGACCTACATGTATGTCTGTGTATCACGTGTGCCTGTTACCCTTGAATGTTAGAGGAAGGCATTGGATCCGCTGGAACTGGAGCTGTGGATGGTTGTGAGCTACAGTGTGGGTGCTGGGAACTGAACCTGGGTTCTCTGTAAGGGCAGCAAGTGTTCTCAACCACTGAGCTATTTCTCCAGTCCAGCTCCTCTAACTCTCAGCCTTCAACAGCTCTGAGTCCGTCTCCCCTACCCTCCACTTTCCAGCTGCAGCTGTGTGGTTCTGAAGGCGCATAAAGGTCTCCCGAGCAAACAATGCAGAGAATCAAACCTTTACAACAAACATCCTCAGCCTCCTTCTAAAAGGAGCAATCGGGCTAGGGAGTTGGGCTCTGTTGGTTGTGTGTCTCTAACATGCAGGGGCTCCACCTTCCAACACAGCATAAACCAGGCATGGTGATGCATATTCACCTGTAGTCCCAGCACCTGGGAAGTAGAGGCAGGAGGACGAGAAATTCAAAGATATATTCTGCTACATAGTGAATCAGAGGGAGCCTGAGCTACATGAGAACCTGTCACAATAACAACAGTATTGGTCTTACAGATAAAAAAAAAAAAAAAAAAAAAAAAACAACTACAAAATAATGCCCTGAACCATCCACACTTTACCTAAGGTAAGCAAAATCACTGTGGTTGTGTTTGGGTGGAAGTTCCAGCTCAAGCCCCCCTCCCCTGGAAGTTGCCTCAGTCCAGACTCTACCTCCAAGAAAGCCCGCCAAAGGATGACACCTCCCCAGAGATGCTCAAGACCATTCCCACAGGGTATTTAAACAGCACCCCAGAGAACAAGCACCTGGTTTCCCGGTCTTCCTTCCTGGGGGACTGGAAGGCTACCCGGGAATGTTGGTATCCATTAAACCTGGGCCTTCTCTAATTCGGTTTAATTTGGTCTGATTTGGATTATTGCATCGGTGGAGAGGTTTATTGGGGCACAAAAACTTTTCAGATTGGACAGCAGGGAACAAACAAAGACACAGCCAGGCATGGGCAGCCTACTCCAAGTTCAAAGACTATGCCCTGTGTTGTAATCCTGAGTACTTAACTCCCTGTTGGCTCTCTAAGTCTTTCCGAGTGGGAATTGTGTGTGTGCCTGTGGTACTGCCCACAGTAGTGACGGCCACTCATCTTCAAATCTGTTCTGGGCTCATCGGTAATGACAGTTCTGTCAGGCCCGAAGCCCCGACTACCTGCAAATTTAAGAGCTCAAGGTAATTACAGTGCAGTCGAATTCTGTTTAGGTTGTATGCATCACGCAATCAAGACTTGGGCTGCGGACCTTTCCTGTGCCCCAGAAAGCCCAGCCCTCAAGTTTGTGTTTTACTCTTGCTCCATAACCAATGGCTTCCAATGGCTTCCAGAACCCAGAGGTTTGCAAAGCTTGGAGCAATGCAGAGACAGTGCCTCCCTCACCCAGACTGGGCATTCAGCGCCTTCCCAAACAGCCACATCAGCCAGCTCCTCTAAAACAAGAAAAGGACTCTGTGAAAATCGCCTGGATGGCAGGAACACCCTGGTCTTTGAGACGTTTACATCTTCCAGGAGGGAAATCAATAAATCCATCCAAACTCAAGGGGACTGTGCCATGGTGGAGGGGGGCGGGGAGAGGGTGGTACTAAGAACACGATGTCTTTTTTAAAAGATACACTTATTTTTATGTGCATGAGTATTTTGTTTGTGCGACGGTATGTACACCTCATGCGTGCCCCTCATGGGTGCAGTGCCCACAGAAACCAGAAGACTGCGTCAGATTCCCTGGAACTGGAGTTCCAGACAGTTGTGAGTTGGTGTGTGGATGCTAGGACTCCAATCCGGGTCCTCTTCAAGAACAGTAAGTAATTCTCAACCATTAAGCTGTCCCCCCCAGCCCCTGAAAACACCCTGTCTTAATCAGCTCTATTTAAGGGAGCACCTTGCAAGGAACTGAGCTCTGTAGTGAGGCCCAAGCACTTGCAAACCTCCCTCAGCCACAACACAGGCACTGTGAGTGACCTCACGGCCTGGAGTCTCCAGGGATGTCAGGGTTCAGAGCAGAGGACAAGAAGTGCCGAGTGGCAACCTGGCACTTGGATATGATCAATGAACAAATAGTACTGGGCTGGGGAATGCTTTAGTTGGTAGGGCTCACCTGGCATACAGGAAGCTCTGGGTTCAATAACCAGCACTGCATAAAGAGGCATAGTAGTGTCTGCCTATAAACCCAGGATTTGGGAGGTTCAGCCAGTAAGTTCAAGGTCATCGTAGCAACCTAGTAAGCTTGAACGTAGTCTGGATGCAAAAACAAAAACATATTTTTGTTGTAGTTTAGAGACAGGGTTTAAGTTTCCCAACCTGGCCTTGATCTCAGCCCAGCAGCCTCCCGAATGGCTCGGATGACAAGCCTGTGCATAGTAACTCTTGCTGATAGGCCTGGCCTTCGTGATTATTCCGGTAACTGGGAGCTCGGGAGCCTATGAAGCACTACTTGGAAGACAGGAGTGAGCTACATGCGGCTCACAACCATCTCAGGAGCCCTGTCTTAAAGCAGCCATACAGGGGGAGGGTTGAGCTCAGAGGCAGGCTCCACCCTGAGAAGCTGGGGCTTTGATGCTACCCACACTGTCACTGATTCAAGGCCACTAAACGTCCATTATCAGCCACCAATGGCCAGATAGGCTGTTCTGTTCACACAAGTTTTCCAGCCCCCTAGAAACCCACCAGCACAATGTATCCATCAGAACCCAGCATTCTCTTTCTTTCCTCCTGAGTGATGGGTACCTGCCCCATGCTCCTCCCCCTCCTCCAGTCCCACAACTCACTCAGTTCAAATCTGGTGCAGAGTCCCAATGAAACAAGCTGGACCTTGAACCTCAGAAAATGTTTCTTATGACTTCCATATCCATGAACTGCAGGGGAATCGAGCCAGGTGAGGCTACTGGCCTACAGAGAACCCAGTTCACCGTAACCCAGTCTGCAGATCCCACTACCCGAACTCAGGCTCCGTAATGCAAGGACTGTATCCTGCTGACCAAGAACTTGGCAGGTGGGACAGAGCTCTGCCCGCAGCAGTGGCTTTTTTAAAAGGTTGCACAATGAGTAACCAAAGGAAGAAATAAAAACAACCGCCTCCCATGTGGCTAGGCAGTAAATCCCAGCACTTGAGAGGCTAAGGCAGGACAGGGTCTATCTCAGTCAGAGGGGAGCCTAGGCTACACAGAAAGACCCAACTCCTACCCCCCCACACCCTACCTCTCAAAAAAAAAAAGTTGAGAACATCAGCTTGGGAAGCAGGAAGGCAGGACATGAAGAACAAAGTAACGGAGCTTGTGATGGGCAAGGTCAGAAAACAACATGTTGGGATCGGGTCTCTCCTTCCACCATGCAGGCTCCATGCATCAGCTCAGGGCATCAGGCTTGGCAGCAAGCCCCTTTGCCAGCTGAGCCATCTTAGCAGCCCCAGTGGGGACATTTGGCTGAACATCCCAACAAGCTTCCCACTTCCCGAAGACCACTCAGCCTTGGTGCCACCCCCATCAGCACCTCTCCTCTCCCCACCCCTGCCCCCCCTTTCTAGGTTCTCATGTCTTAACTTGTTTCCTCTTAAAAACGATGCCAAATGACAGAAGAAAGTATGTGCTTGGGTGTCACCCAGGCAAAATTACCCAGTTTTCCATCCCCTTGAACTTTATTTTTCTCCTGGGGAGCCAGCTTTATATATATATATATATGTGTGTGTGTGTGTGTGTGTCTTTGCCCTTTAGCACCAGGGCCAAAGAAAGGGAGGAAGGAGGGAGCGAGGGAGCGAGGGAGGGAAGGAGGGAGCGAGGGAGGGAGGGAGGGAGGGAGGGAGGGAGGGAGGGATCACTCAGCTGGGCCTTTTGAAAAGGTTAGCAGCATCTTCTAGATAAAGTTTCAGAGGGAAAGCTAAGAAACACTTTAAATTCCATCATTCCTCACTCCATCATCATGAGAAAGTAACTTAAGACACACACACACAAAATGAAGTCATTATTCTAAGTGGCTGGTTATAACAGCCATCACAGCTCTCAGGACAGACCACAGGCCTCTTCTGGAAGCTGCACCCCTTCCCCTGGATGAAAGCACCCCACCCACTCATCCCATTTTTCTTCACTTGCTTCCTTCTGTTCAGGTCAGAACACTACAACTGCTACCCCAGAGTGGCAAGTGTTGTAATAAACCTGCCTCTGGCCACACTGAGCTACACACAGGGGGTACGCCGCCCCGTCTCACAGGCAACTGCCACTATCCAGTCTCGTCCTGCAGGTAACTGCTATTCAGGCACAGCTTTTCAGATACCAAGAGTATGACAGCATCTTTAGGTAAACCTTGGTCTCCAGCTGGAAAGGAGTTTACAACCAGTCATTTTGATGCGCTGGTACATGCTTATGCACGCACGCACGCACACACAAACGCTCACGGGAGAATACTTTCTGTATGGTTCTGTTCCCCCAAGCACTCCTGAGCCAGGTGACACTCCCCAGTGGTCACACTTCTAGCAGCTGAGCACAACAACAGGACAGGGAGGAGGGAAGGAAAGGGGAACAGACCAATGGGGTAAGACACTAAGTCCTCTGACTCATGTGGGAAGCCAGAAGCAAACACAAACACCCTCCCCAGGGCATTCTTAAAGGGACTTCATTTTACTACTACAAAAAGACAACACATAGGGCCAGAAGGCAAAACCTGATTTGTGGCCACATTGTAACACCGGAGAGAGAGTCAGGCGAATACTTAACTTAGAATATCAGAGAGTGTTAACCTAGGGACAACCATGTTGATAAAACATGTGTGACCCAAATCACTAGATTCTAACATAGACTCAGCGTTTCCTTTGTCCTATCATTTTTCAAACAACCTGACAGGTGACTGAGGAGATACCTCGGTTTTGCCATGTTACTGGAAGCGCTAATTCACTAACTCCGATATTATTCTAACAAGGAGATACACACGGTTGCTCCTGAGGACCAGAGCACACATCAAAATAACTAACTCACAAATGCACACACGTGGACATAATTGCCCTTCAGGATCTCGCCAACTTCGGGGAAAACTCTTGTTTATGCAAACGCCAATATTTCAACGCGCGCTGCGCTGGATTGTGGTGTGTGGCATGTATGTATGTGTGTGTGTGTGTGTTCGTGCGTGCGCGCGCGAGCGTTCCGGTAAGGAGGGGTCTACTAGAGCTCACCAAATCCTAAGTATTCTTCTCTGCTTTTCATCTGAGATCCTCTAAAAACCACTTGGTTTTCCCTAGTAGGACAAGCCTGTGTTATAACCTTGACTCTGGCAAGGACTTGAATTTTAACGCACCACACTTCAACCTCCTAGGTCGAAAGTGCCCCTGGAAATATTTACTGTAAACAGAGTTAGGAACAAAGGGAACTTTCCCTTTTTTTTTTTTTTTTTAAAGGCACCACCTGCGGTCTAAGGTTGGCACGGGGCGTCCACAGGCCCCCCTGGTGGAGAGGTGGTTAAGGAGCCTGAGCGCCGCTTGCAGATGGTTCTCCCCAAGAGAGCGCTCTGCGTTTCCCGGTTTCTAACCCAGCAGCAATCAGACAGAGCCACGGGGCGGGGGAGGGGGACACGTTTTAAATGTTCCCACCGGCGCACTCCAGAGCCCTGGTATCGGGATGTAGTCAGGGGGTACGAAGGTGAGGGTCTTTTGTTTAGTTTTGTTTTTAAATCTCACCAGGTGTGTAGCCTCCAGGTCACCTTAAGAGCTCCCACCGTATTTTGAGCGGGGTACTCGGTGTTAGAGGGCTCTTGGGGTGACGGGGCACGCACGTAGAAAATACACAAAGTTCTTTTACAAATTCTCTGCCCAACACCACAGCCAGGCACCTGTCTAGAAGCCAAACGCTGATGCAACTTGGAAAAGTCCCTCAAAAGACAGAAAAAAAAAAAAAAAAGTAAGGGCTTTCGGGGTGACCTGCCTGGACCATGCAGTGGCTCGCGGACCAGGACAGAGGAGCGACCACCAGCCTGTTCGGTTTAAGAAATGGTCTTAAAGAGCACGCTGAGATTAAACCCTGCCAGGAAGGACGAGGAGTGCGATGCTCTGTGTGGATCGCCCGCAGCTGTCACTAGAGCCCAGCACAGGTTCGCCACCAACTGTTCGGTGCGTCTAGAGTGCAGTGAGCCGGGTAGGAGACGGGAGCACACCTCCAGCCCCGGCACTGCGGCGGCCACGCCGGGATCCGGGAACCAACGCTTAGGCTGAGCACTGCGCAAACCTGCAGGAGCCCGAGCCCCTCGCCGTCCGGGGCAGCACCTGGGCTCCGGCGGCCCGCGCACACCCTTCCCGCCCCGGCTCCGAGCTCACTTACCGCCTCCGTCTCCCGGGTCCCGCTCCGCTGCAGCCCGCAGACCGGGGCCGGAGAGCCGCGGCCGCCGGAGTCGCCAGGAGGCCGCGCCAGCCCCGCCCCGTCCTGCAGCCGCCCGCCCTCCCGGGAGGAGGAGCAGGCGGGTCTGCGTCCGGACCCTCCCAGGGACCCGGGACCCAGGCGAACCCAGGACTGAGGGCCCTCGCAGGCCAGCCGGGGCACTCCCTGCCACTCTCTCCATCCGCCAGCACCTCTTCCCTTCCCTGCAGCCTCCCTCTCTCCTCTCTCCGCGCTCCTGTGTACCCCTCCAGGAAGCCTTCCCTATTTCGCAGTCCCACCCCATCCCAGATACGCTTCCCCCACCCTTCCACGCAGCCTTGTTCTCTTCACCTGGGAGCAAATCACACTGATGGAAAAGCACGGGAGTGACTCCAATAAGCTAAAGCTGGGCCCGTCTCTGAGGCCACCCAGCTGCTGGCGGCAGAACCGGCATTAGAAAACAGATCTCAGGTCCTAGTTTAGTCCGGTCCCAGGGAAAGTGACTTTACATTGACAACTGCGACAGTCAGTGTGAAGCTTGTCATTTCCAAGCCTCAGTTTCCTCCGTTGTAAAGTGAACAAGACACCCACTCCACGGAAGAAAGGACTGCAGAAATGTCACGTGGCCTACACTATTTTAATAAGTAAATGTTTGCTGACCTGCTGAATAAAACCAACGCTCAAAACATTCAGTCCCTCAAAATAGCGACGTGAAAAGATCCCAAAAGGTAACAGCAATTCTTGTAGGAAAAACACATAGCAGAAGGGGAAAATAGGCAGTGATTAAAAGTGATCGTATTTACAGGGCTGGAGAGATGGCTCAGCAGTTAGGAGAACTTGCAGCTCTAGCAGAAGTTCCGGTTCAATTCCCAGCACCCACGTGGTGGCTCACAAAACCTCTGTAACTCCAGTCCCAATAGATCTAGTGCCCCCTTCTGGCCTCCTCGGGTACTGCAGATGTGTAGAGCTCAGCCTTACAGGCAGGCAAAACAACACAAATATTTTCAATTGATTTTTAAAAACGAACACAAAGGAGGGCAGCCATCCTCCCTGGAGCCCTTTGAATTTACTTCTCAGAAACAGTGGGTCTAGTAGGCAGGCTCCACCCGTAGTCAACTACAGCCAAGAATGGTTATGAATGCAGGCTCCCTGCCCCTCCCCCAAAAGAAAGTAGTAACCCTGCTTAGAAGATTAAGCGTTTTGTGATTTTTGTCAAAAAATTAATAGCTTAGCTCTCGAGTCTGGACTTCGTACGGGACAAAACTGCATAGACAGCGTTCTTGGGCGGGGCTACTTGCCTGAGCGAAGGCCTCTGGGTTTGGGGTACATCTGGAACCTGGAATTAGGCAAATTAGCAAGGGAGGCTGTGCCGGGTGGTGGGAAAGGCATCAGATAGCACAGGCAGGGACGCGGGTTAATCACGCCGCAGACACCTCAAGATGCCTGCAGTGGAACCTGCACCTACATGGGGCTAAACGCCAGGACTGGCAGAACCCTGCAGTGACCAGCCCAGCCAGGAGGAAGGCTACAGCCGGAAGCTGTGCGGGGAAAGACCTTCCCAAAGAGCCTCTCAAATTGGTGGCCAGATATGTATCCTGAGGTAGCTCCAGAAACAGAAATAAGG